AAAACGTGTCAGTCTTGAATTATTAGCGCTGGATCTGAAATGAGATGCAATCAAACTAAAATGGTGGTGAGATATAATTTTGCTGATTTGTTCAAAAGGCCATTTGGTGTATCTAAATGCATTTATTTAATGTGTATTTAAATAGAACAAATGGCTTACCTTTTAATTCCCGGGGGCCCTTTGTCACTTTTAGAAAAGACGACCTCCTAATGCCTTCATTCGTGAATTTTTTCAAATAACAGGTATTAACGGACTCCCGCATCCACAGCTCTGCACTCAACCCAAGAGGAAACTGAGGAGATTTCAAAGTCTGGGAGTGGGAAAGAAAAGGAGAACTTGGGAAACACGAAAAGGCCACGCGCTCACGTGGCTCCTGGCCACTTGTGGGTGGAATTCCTCGCGTGGCTGTGGAGAAGTCCCAGCCTGAGCTGGCGAGGGCAGGGTCCCCACCAGGAAGTGCCATCTTGCCACCGCCCCCCCAAGCATGATTTAGCCACAGACACTGATATTCACAAGCCGAGAGGCCGTACCCAGTGTCAGCAGTGCCGCTGTGTAAAAACCACTTCAAAAGGCAAGTGCGGAGAACGCCGTGCCTGGCTGCCGCAGGGTTGGCTGGGGTTCCTCCGGCCTGGACCCCGTCGGCCGGCGCTGCTTCAGGCTGCAGATCCCGCTGAGCTGGGAAGCCTTTAGGCTCCTTGGACCAGTGGACTCAGCAGGAATGTTCTCGTGGAAATGGCAGCTGCGGCGATGGTTGATGTAACCATGCGAGGCCTCTCCAGCCTCTGCCTGCTGCTCATCTGCTCATGTCTCATGGACCAAAGCACATCCAGGGCCAGGGAGGTATAACCTCCGGGCTGGGTGGAAGTTACACAGCCCGGGTGTGGTGTCTGCTCCTGCAGCTACGGAGCCGGCCGGCTCAGGAGTACGGCGTGCAGCACGGTGCTGCAGAGGTGGGAGCCCCTCCAGGAGGTCTGAGCGGTTACTGGCTGTGAGGAAGTTCTTTCTGGACCTAGTGAGACCATCAAAAGAACAGCCCGGACATGGCGCTCAATTTTATGTGTTAACTTGACCGGGCTGCAGGATGCCCAGAAGGCTGGTGATGGGTTGTTTCTGGGCGTGACTATGAGGGAGCTTCGGTGAGGGGGGAGGTCAGGATCTGAGGTGCTGGACTGAGCAGAGAAGACCCGCGCTTCCCGGTGCTGCTGAGCCGGAACCCGCCTGTCACAGGTCCCGATGAAGCAGAAGGGCAGAGGAAGGGCAGGTTTGCTCCTCTCCACCTGGGCCGCGCAACTTCTCCTGCCCTTGGATATCCGTGTCCTCAGGCCTTTGAACTTGACCGGGAGTGGCATCCGTGGCTGCCCTGGTTCTCGGGCCCTTGGACTGCGACTTGCTGACACTGGCAGCTTTCCTGGTTCTCCAGGTGCAGGTGGTAGCATTTCTCGGCTTCCGCAGTGCTGTGAGCCAGCCCCCATAATGTCCTCTGTCACCTCTGTATCTGTCTCCCATTGGTTCTGTTTCTCTACAGAGCCCTCATGCCCCAGAGCCGCAGCCCTGCCCACCGCTGGAGCCACAGACTCTGTCCGACTCAGAGACAGCTGAAGGGCAGGGCTGCGGCTGGTCCTGACAGTGCCTTAGTGCAAACCAGAAGGCAGGGTTCCCTCCCGCCACTGCCACCCCAGAGGATGAACTCTGACCCAGAGGTAATGGGAACCCTCGGAAGAGGGCTGAATGCTGAGTACATCTGAGCACAAACCCAAAACAAAAGCAAAGAAGGGGAAGGATGGACGGAATGAAGCGTGGAGTGGACTCTCCGTAACCCGTCTCCCACGCCGACGCCGGCCTTGGCCGGGGGCTCATTTGGCCAATGGAACAATAGGAGAAGCAGTGCAAGCAGAGACTTGAAACGTGCCCGGGAGGGGGACTTGCCCTCTCTCGCTGCTGGAAGTTCTGCAGCCTGCGTGTGGACAAGCCCAGGCTGGCCAGCCGGGAGATGGAGACCCGGGCTTTGTGCCTCAGCTGACATGGACCTGGACCCGGGGGGGGGGGGTCTCCCAGGAGCAAGCCCGCCGCGGACTCCGTAGCCCCCACATGGCCGCTCGCCCAGACCAGCAGCCCCTGCAGGAGATGAGGATGGTTCACTGCTTGAAGCCATTACAGTCGTGGGTGTTTTGTTAAACACAGGAAGACGCCTGACACGCAACGTCTGTGTTTCTGTCCTGGGAGGGAGCAGGCGACACTTGGGGATTGCCGCATCGTTAGTACTGACAGATCATGTTCTCCTTGCGAAGGAAGAGGTAAAGCACAAATAGTACCGGGGACTAAAACTGGGGGGTGACAGAGGGGCTGGGTATTGGGAGAGACAAAGCCTGTTCTCGGAAGGAAGCAGTGCGTGTTGGCCGAAGGAGGCAAAGATCCCAGCATGTAGGTTCTTACAGATGGCCAGTAGAGCAGGGTGCAGGTCCTCCTCCACAGGCGAACTGCACCAGGAACTAAGGAGGACACAGCACACACATGCGTGTGCCCAGGTAAAGACTGTTTGATCGCCTCGGTCATAGGATCGCTGTCATTTTAGTCATCATACAGGAGAACGCCATGTAGACAATCAGGCGGTGACTTAGCATCCACGGTAAGACACGCCTCGATTTCCAAGGTGTGAAAATGTGATAGAAGTACAGTACCCAAGAAAAGGAAAGCGTACAAGCCAGGACAGAACTAGGACCAGCACTTACGTCATGCTGACAAATGTGAGTAGAACTCGCTCGTCAGGAAAAGATTTTTCAGACTGAATCACCAAATAAAGTCGAAAAGCTGGAAGTAAAAAGATGGGTAAAGATATGCCTGCAACAAGGCAGTGTGTGTGTGTGCACACGTGTGCGTGTGTGTGTGCATGTGTGTGTATGTGTAGGGAACAGGATCTTAGTATTACACAAGGTAAAATTCAGGCCCAAAACTGCCGCCTTATATTGCCAGAGGATACAAGCCACCATAAAAATAGAGCAGGTGTAAGTGTCTGCATCAGATGCTACCCCAGCTCCTTGATTAGGCCTGTGCTCAGGGGAGGTGAAGAAGGACTCGGGTAGTGGTTAAGGTGCTGCTAGCGATGCCCACTTCCCATGTGGGAGTCGCTGGGTGTGAGTCCTGGCTCCGTCACAGTTCCAGCTTCCTGCTCGTGTGCACCCTGGGGAGCAGCGGGTGATGGCGGGAGTGCCTGGGCCTCTGCCACCCACGTGGGAGACCTGCAATGAGTTCTGGGCTCCTGGCTTTGGCCCAGCCGGTCCCAGTGGTGGATGGAAGGTGTCCTCTCTCTCTCTCTCTCTCTGCCTTTCAAATAATTTAAAAAAAAAGAAGAAGATGTAAAGAGAAACAGACAAAAACACACTGATAATGTGAGAGGCTTTCAGAAAGATCATGGAAGATGTATATTATGAAAAACTATGAATTTCCTTTTTTTTGCACCAAAATAGAGTTTCATTTTCCAGTAATCTTGACATATCTTTATAGAACTTAATTTGTCCATTTTACTCTAATATAGATAAAAATTATTATGTCAGCTCTATTAAGTATTTTATGGCTATCACAAACGAAGATCTAGCACTGGTTCTGTCCTGGTTACTCCTCTTCTAGTCCAGCTCTCTGCTGTGGCCCGGGAGTGCAGTGGAGGATGGCCCAAGTGCTTGGGCCCTGCACCCACATGGGAGACCAGGAGGAAGCACCTGGCTCCTAGCTTCGGATTGGTGCAGCGCGCCGACTGCAGCAGCCACTTGGGGGGTGAACCAACGGAAGGAAGACCTTTCTATCTTTCTCTCCACTGTCTAACTCTGCCTGTCAAAAACAAACAAACAAACAAAAAAATCTAATGACAGTGAGGCAGTGCCCGGACACTGGGGGCTGTGTTTGCCAGTTGTTTTCTATACCCTGAACATCAGCCTTGACTAGGGAGAGCTGTTTCTGACCGTTCTTTCCTCGCGGTCCTTGACTAAAAGAATGGCAGTATCGGAACCAAATACATTAAGTTGCCTGGGAATTACATTCTGGGCAGCAGTGGGGAGGGACAAAATAACCAATTTCCGGGTCATTGTTTGGTTTCAGATGAGGGGATTGAGCCCCAGGTTGTCCATGATGAACCTGTGGTCACAAAACTAGGCAGGAGCAGGCCTGAGACGGGAACAGATGTTACTGCTGTCTAGGAAGAAAAAGGTCCCATAGCTTCCGGCACCATTAACCTGAGCATTCCCCAACTTTGCAGCCAAGCAGAGTTTAGGGAAAAGTTTCCAGCCGAAACATTTGATAGCTGTGCATCTATGAAGTGCTAGCCATAAATTTATAATTTCATGGGCCTGTAAGAGGCACCTCGTGGGGGTCACGACCTTTAGCGTTTTCTGCCTGTGAGTGGTGACCTCTGCAGCGTCACGTTCCTACGGAAGCAGACTCTCACTGGTTCTGCACCCTGGCCATGGGCCCCCTTTGCATTCACGGTTGCAGCTGTTTCGCTGACCTTACTTCCTCCCTGGGAATGTGCCCAGTCAGCTGTGGACAGCAGCACCCCCGAGACACGAATTCTTACAGTTGCGTACATTTATTTAAGGAGAACAATGCACACAGGGCCCCTCATGTTAAAAATCTCCCATACACGTGTTTCGAGGCCAGAGTGCAGCAAATTCCCCAAATGAAGCTTGTGGAAACACCCGCAGGCGTGCGTGGACTCCCTAAGCGGGCGGTCCCCGAGCCAGATGTGAAGTTAAAGCGCAGCGCGGCCTTCCAAGTTAAACACGTTCTCAAAAGCAGTAACCATGGCGGCTGGATCAGATCCCCGGCCCAGGAGGGAACCAGGGTGGCGCCTAAGCCTGGGCTGCGCGTGGAGGTCTGTTTGGATGAATGCGGCGAGATCTGGGTTCCATACGCTTGTTAACGAATATTTTCAGGCACCTGCAGTGTGCCCTGTACTTCATTCTTCTACGATGGATTGTTAACATTGTTTATTGTCTCTTTCTTTTTCATAGATCATTTTTTGTGATAAGCCTTAAATCCTAATCTTGGCCAAATACAGAATGTTCTTGGAACCCTCCTGACTGCCTACCTGGAACATGGCTTCTTATTTTTATTTGTAACCCCAGCTGGAGAGGAGGAGGGGAAGGTAAGAGACTAATCTCTCTGCAGAATCTGTGTGTCGGGGCTTGTCGTCGTCACTCCTGCTGGTGAGTAACGTGCTCCTAACTAGGACGTGGTGTCAGGATTGTCAAAGTACAAGCAAACAACATCAGATCTCTGATGTGTCGCACGCTTGACCCTTTACGAAATGCCCGTCTCTGTTTAGATGCATCACCCCGGTTTTCATTTTATTATGTAATGGTTGCGTATTCTGAGACACTTTTGAGCTTTTTCTGTCGCATTTCCCTTTCCTCGTGACAATGGCCATTTTGTGATTCCTGTGCCTGAGGAAGGGCACAGAATGGAAACGGTGGGTGAACTGAGCAGCGTCAGCCTCGCTGGGACCGCGAGACCCTGGCTGGTGGGAAGGAGGAGCAGGAGCCTGCACTACGGGACCTGCAGAGCTACAGCATGGCCCAGCCGGAGACGGGCAGTAACTGGGAGTGTGTTTTTAAAGATTTGTTTTATATATTTGAAAGGAAGAGTTAGAGAAAGAAGAGAGAGAGAGAGAGAGAGAGAGAGAGACAGAGAGAGAGAGACAGAGAGAGACAGAGAGATGTCTTCCATTTGCTGGTTCACTCCCTAAGTAGCTACAAGGGCCGGGGCTGGGCCATGCTGAAGCCAGGAGCCTGGAGCTTCATCTGGGTCTCCTGTATGGTTTCAGGGGCCCAAGGACTTGGGCCGTCTTCCGCTGCTTTTCCCAAGCCATTAGCAAGGAGCTGGATCAGAAGTGGAATAGCCGGGACTCACATGGGCGTCCAGTTGGGATGCCGGTGCTGCAGGCGGTGGCTTAGCGCAGCCTGGGAACCGTCACCTCTGCTTCTGTGAGGTCCGCCTTTCTGGAATCCCCACACAGGTGACACGGGACAACATTTCTCCTTGGTGATCCACGTGCCAGTGAACTCAGTCGAACTTTGCCCGGGTGCACACCGGGACCCACATGTCACACGGGACCCAGTACAGCGTGCAGTTAGGGCTTTTCTTCATGAGAGCACTTGCAGAAGCCTCAAGAAGATGAAAACCTTCAGGCAGCTCAGCTCGAGGGCCCTGCTCTTGACCTTCCCCGGGTGGGACTGCAGGGGACCACACTTCAGCGGCAGACGCCAGGGCCGGGTGCTGGGGCCGGCAGGATGCAGCAGGCCTGTGTGAGGAACCTGTGGACCCTCCTGCTGGGCCCTGCCGGCCGTGGCTCTCCTCCCGGGCAGTGGCTGGCCCCAGCTTCCTGGGGCTCACTCGCTGCAACAGCTTCTGGCTCCGTGTGGTCCCCACCGCTCCTGGCACTGGGGGTCGGTGGGGAGGCCACAGGGACTGGTTTGGGGGCTGGGCTGGGACTAGGGCCCTGTAACTCCTTCAGCTGGCCAGGTAGGGGAGAGTCAAGTGTGGGGACTCCATGGGGGGCTCCTGGAGGCCCTGCAGCAGCAGGGGCTGGGAGGCGGGAGGGGAAGACTTGCTCAAGACCTTTCTGGAGTTGGAGGGTACAGAAGAACTGCACAGCGAGGCTATCATGGGAGGCTAAGGCCGGGGGTGGCTCTCAGCGCTCTGGGAGACCAGCTACAGGGATGGGGCTGTGGCTGCGAGGGCCTGGCATCCACTCTGCCCCAGTGCCGGGCAGCACTGGGGTCTGGTCTCTGGGTCCCAGGGAACACCCAGGAGCCGCACAAAGGTGACCTCACTCTCCTTGGCAAGTTCCTGACAGGGTCCTCGGGTGCCCTGCCGGGGCCTCTCCCAGGCATCCATGGTGGGCAGCCAAGCAAGGAGCTCCCTCAGGGCTGGCCTGGCCGGACGCGGCAGCACGTAGCACCTGCACGGGACACTGTCCTGCAGCTCGGCTGTGTTCCTCCCACAGAGGGTCGGCGGCGTGGCCAGCATGGCAGACAGGATCATCCCCAGCCTCCAGCCTGTCAGCCTTAAAGACATCATAGTCCTGCTTGAGAAAGACTTTCGGGGTGTAGCACTCCTGGGTCCCGCAAAACCCTCTCACCAGTCTGCCCTTGGCCAGCGTAGCCCTAAGTCGGCCAGCTGGGCCTTCCTGTGTGAGTGCAGCAGGCTGTCCTGCTTCAGGTCTCTGTGTGCCGCCCGGTGCGTGGCGGGAGCCCCTGCCCTGCCTGATAGGGTCTTGCTGAGTGGGGACCTGGCCTCGGCCTCCCCCAGGCCACCCTGCTCCAAGCTGTGGTGCCGCAGAGAGCCCCCGCCCACCAGCTCCATGGCCAGGAGCGCGTGCTTGGCCGTGCACCTCTCCTCCAGGAGCCGGGTAACGTTCTCGCGCCGCAGGCTCCTCGGGAGGGCCACTTCCCACTTCACTGCCTGCAAGTAGAGGGGCTGCAGTGTCGCCCCAGGATCTTCACGGCCACCTCTTGCCCATTCAAGGTGGCGGGCGAGCCTCACTGGGCTGCAGCCGGCCCGGGCGATGGTGTCCAGGAAGGTTGGCCTGTCAAGAGTGTGATGGACGCTCCGGGGCCTCTACTCACCAGTTGTCTCAAACTACTCTTTCTACTCCGTCAACGAACACTAACTAATCAGCTCCCCTGACTCTGATCCCTAATCTCACACACGGATCCACGGGGACTGGCTACTGATGTGAGCGCTACACAGCACCAGCTCTACTGTCCTCGCCAACAGTGCAAAGCAGCGAGACGCTAAATAACTGACAACAGGAGGAGGAAAGCTGCAAACATGCTCCTGCTAAGAAGTCTAAAACTGGCAAAAAAGCAAAGTGGCCAAAAAATAAATAGATGGGAAAAAACAACCTAAATGGGGGGAAAGAATAAATAAAATGGACCAAGACACAAATGAACAAAGCAAGAGATGAAGGAAAAAGTTCAACAAGCAGGATCCCTAGGTTGGTCACACAGGTCTCCAGAATTGGCTCCCTGGGTTAGGCGGGCCAGCTGGATGTACGCTTTCGGAATTACATAGCAGTAGTGGCACCTTATGAAGTCAGGATGAAATCGATCCAACTCAGCCCAACCAGGGAATTGTACGTATTTGTAATTTATGATGGTGGATCCTTACGAAGTTGGGGCAAGGAATGGACCAATCACAGCTGCAGTTAATCCAAAGGGGTTTTCTCAAGACTCCTCCACCTCAGTACAAGTAGGACCCCAAGAGCTTTTTGCTTAGGTTGGTGATATTGATTGATGTTGAGAAATTAAAACCTGTAGGATGTCTCAATGGTCTTTTCTAGTTTAAACAAGTGATAATAACCTTTGGCCTTTAAAAAGAAACTTTTTTATTTGAAAGACTGAGTTACAGAGGGAAAGGGAAAGTGACAGAGAGAGAAGGGAGAGAGAGAGAGAGAGAGAGAGAGAGAGAGATTGATTGATTTTCCATCTGCTGGTTCACTGCCCAAATGATGGCAATGGCCAGAGCTGCACCGATCCAAAGCCAGGAGCCAGGAGCTTCCTCCAGATCTCTCACGTGGATGCAAAGGCCCAAAGACTTGGGCCGTTGTCTGCTGATTTCCCAGGCGCATTAGCAGGGAGCTGGATGGGAAGTGGAGCAGCTGGGATTCGAACTGGTGCCCATATGGGATGCAGGCACTGCAGACCATGGGTTAACCCTCTGCTCCACAGTGCCGGCTCCCAGCTTTTGGCTTTTGAAGACCTCCAAATGTCTACGCTCAAGATACCCATTCCTTTCCCTTTAACCTCTGAATGATGGGTCTCATAATGATGGTACAGCTTTTCTGGCACCGTGATACTGTGACGGAATGTTCTGTTGCCCAAGACACCACCAGCTGCGTTACTCTCATCACAGAGCTGAGAGGAAGGTGGCTAACGCCATCATTTCCCCCAGGGCCATCGTCAGATTTCCCGTCAGAAACCCTGGGGGCCAGAAGGCAGTGGGGCTGACATGCAGAGTCTGGGTATGGAAGGAAAGGTAGATCCTCCACAATTGTCCTTGGAATAGTAGGGAAAAATCAAGGTGTTTCCAGCTGTCTTAAGTTTTTTGGGATTGTAACAAAACACCTTGACCCGAGTCATTGAACAAGAACAGACATTTTTTTTTTCCTGAGTGTTCTGGGGGCCAGGCTAAGATGAGGGCACCAGCAACCTGATGTCTGGGAGGAGCTCACCCTGCTTCTAAGACAGTGCCTTCTTCACAGGAAAAAATGAGGGATCAGCAGGGCCGGTGGCCAGGCAAGAGCATTCGAAGCTAAGTCTCTGTGTTGAGAAATCGCCTTGTAGGGGCCGGCGCTGTGGCATAGGGACTCCCGTATGGGCTCTGGTTCAAGTCCCGGCTACTTCACTTCCCTTTCAGCTCTCTGCCGTGGCCTGCACCCACGTGGGAGACCCAGAAGAAGCTCCTGGCTCCTGGTGCGGTTATTTGGAGAGTGAACCAGTGGATAGAAGACCTCTCTCTCTCTCTCTCTCTCTCTCTCTCTCTGTCTCTATCTCTGGCTCTCTCTCTTTCTGTAACTCTGTCTTTCAAATAAAAAAATTTTTTTAAAAAAAGTTGTATTGTAGCTCTTTAAAAATGTGTAAATACTACATCTTAACCCAAAACTCAAAAATAAATAAATAAATAACATAGACAGTGCCTTCTTGGGGGTATCCTCTAATGGTAGAAGGAAAGAACTCGACACTTCAAGCCTTGTGGACAGACACCCATCACAGGGCTGGTGGCATGGTTGGAGTCCCAGCTACTCCACTTCCATTCCAGCTCCTTATCATGTGAAAACAGCAGAGGATGGCCTAAATACTTGGGCCACCCATATGGGAGACCAAGTTCCGGGCTCCTGGCTTTGGCCTAGCCAAGCCATGTTTGTTGTGGGTGTTTGGAGGAGCAAACCAGCAGATGGAGGATGAATCTCTCTCTCTCTTTCTCTCTCTCTCTCTCTCTCTCTCTCTCTCTAACTCTGCCTTTCAGATAAATAAATAAATATTTTTCTTTTAAAAAAGCTACTGCCCCTGTTCAGGAGAAAGGAATCCTGGCTTCATCAGCTCCTGGTTTCCCCACCTCTTTTTTTTTTTTTTTTTTTTGACAGGCAGAGTGGACAGTGAGAGAGAGAGACAGAGAGAAAGGTCTTCCTTTGCTGTTGGTTCACCCTCCAATGGCCGCCGCTGCAGCCGGCGCACCGCGCTGATCCTGGCAGGAGCCAGGAGCCAGGTGCTTTTCCTGGTCTCCCATGGGGTGCAGGGCCCAAGCACCTGGGCCATCCTCCACTGCACTCCCTGGCCATAGCAGAGAGCTGGCCTGGAAGAGGGGCAACCGGGACAGAATCCGGCGCCCCAACCGGGACTAGAACCCGGTGTGCCGGCGCCGCAAGGTGGAGGATTAGCCTATTGAGCCACGGTGCCGGCCTTCCCCACCTCTTAATACTGCGGCATTGAGCTTGAAGTTGAACTTGAAGTTTGGAGAGACACGGGCTCGACCTGCTCTCTGTGTGGGCAGCCCTGCAGGCTGAACGCAGGACACTAGACAGGAACCCAGAGCTGTCATGGATTAGCTCTCTGGGGAGGTCACTTGTCTGCCATGCTCAGTTTGCACTGGGTCTATGTGCTACAGTGTTGCACTGTGGCCCACCACTCTACAAGAATCACTCGCTAACCCCAATTTAAAAATACTCTTCAATTTCTTTCATCAGTGTTCCATAGTTTTCACTGCAGAGACCTTTCACCTCTTTGGTTAAATTTATCCCCAGGCATTTTCTTTTTCTTTAGCGTAGCTGTTGCATGTGCGATTGCTTTCTTATTTCTTTTCTCAGTGACTCACCGTTGGTGTATCACAGTGCTACTGACTTCTGTATGTTCGCAACTTTGCCGAATTTGTTTATTGGCTTTAGCAACTTTCTGGTGGAGTCTTTAGGGGTTTTCTATATATAAGGTCGTGGAAATGTGACTTCCTCCTTTGCAGTTTGAATGCCCTGTATTTCCTGTATTTCTTCGTCTTGCCTAATTGCTCTAGCTGGGACTTCCAGCACTCTGTTGAATTAAATTTGAATAATTTCAAAACAAAAGAAGAGTGATGACAGACCACCAGAAGTGACGTTGTCAGAAATGATGGCGTCCATAGGTAATGACATCTTGAAAGGTCTGACAGGGAAGCGCTCATCAATCTGGAATTCTAAATCCAGTGAAAAAAAGCCAGAACAGTGTGTGGCTGGCCGTCCTAGCCGGCAAGAAATTCTAACGGAAATCCTCCCGGGTTGCAATGGACTGGAGCTTTGGGTACCCGCACCCCCACCTGTCTGTTGACCCCTGGTCCCCAGTGGGATGATATTTGGAGGTGAGAGCTTTGGGAGGTGAGATTGGCTCATGAAAGTGAGGTCTTCATGAAGGCACTCATACCCTTACTTACCCACTGGCCTGGCTCCCTAACCTCCCACCCCCAGTCTCTGTCTCCCAGAACTGCGA